GTTATGAGAAAAATCCCTGATGGAACATTTGTAAAGAACAATAGCCAGATACATGGTTAGGATTCATGATCTCTCACTTGCAAATATACCAAACACCAGTAATAACTCTTCAGATTTGCTTTGTGCTTTTCTAAGGAGTTTTTTGACCATTAGCTCATTCAACAATCAAGATGTTACTAATTAGAATAGTTTTTAGAGGGCCTCACTGGCATTCCCAGGGGATAACGTATCAGGCACCACCCAGGAAATATTTCTTTTCTTCTTAGGTTTTCAAAGGAGCCCTTGAAAAGCCTGTCTGTGACACAGAGACCAAAGGAAAAAGAATGTGGCCACACCTCTTTAAACGATGTGAGTAATAACCGGACCTTCTTATGGTAGACTGCATGAGTAAACATAACATTAATTTCAAAATGTTAATTGTAAAGGGCATAATTACCACTATAAGGTCTGAACCTACTTAGTTTTCTTTCAAATGAGGAAAACAAATTATGGAAGTCCTGCTACACTGAAACAGTTCCCTGCAACCCACCCCTGCCACTTCTGCTCTACTGCGCCCCCCTAATACCCACCCCCACCATGATTTATTTCCCTGTAAGACACACACTCTCAGAAACTCACATTCCAAGGAGGAGGAAAGGAAAAAAAACATTCTTTTAAGGCTCCCAGAGGCGCATTCTTTCCTTCTTTTCCATGGTAATTCACCAAGAGGACAATGAGCCAGTATTAAGCAAACTTACCATATTTTTAAAATTGTGTTTTTTAACTAGTAAAGTGAAACACTAGAATTTGTGACTCCTAAAATATAAATATGCAATGGACTTTGACAGAAAGATTTATCAAAGCATATTTAATGCAGCTAGCCATACATCCTACAGAAGCAGTAACATTTAACATAGGGATGAGAAAAGTTGTCAGAACAATCAAAACTAGCTAAAAGAAAAACCGAGACTTACCTTTTATTCTTCCTTTTTCCAAAGAACTAAAGAGAGATTCTTCTCTGAAGGTATCACACTGGAAGCCTTGGACTTCTGATTTTATAGGACTTGCAAGGAGGCCACACCTAGCAACCAGAAGTTAGTAACTGGCTGCCTTCTGTTTGAGGTACAAGGCTCAGCTTCGCCCGGAAACAAAGTGAAACAAGTCTTGCAAAACTACTCACTAAACCAACTCAGCTGACAGCACAGAGGGAAAGAAACGGGAGGAGGGTTTTTTTCCTCTCTTTATTTTGTACTTTTTCTTTTTTCCAGAGAAGATAAAATCCAATAGAGTTTCAGATATGCAGTGCTGTCTGCCCCAATCCTAATGCCAATGATTGGCACCTTTTTTAGTTAAATCAGTTGTAGGATAAAAAATATATTGACTTCAAAACTAGAAAACAGAACAAACGAACAAACAAAAATCTCAGGTTTGAATTCCAACTCCATCACTTATCACTATGTGAACTTTGGAACATTTATAATTTCCCTAAACCTCTAGGCTGCCCAACCTCTAGAACTCTTGTGATGAGAAAGAAAAAGATAATTAAATAAAACCTGTTTTTCTTTTTTTTTTTTCTGTTTGCATTTATATTCCTAACTTCAGTAATGGAAATATGGAAGTAATTGGAATATCCCTGCATAGGGACACTCAATAAATGAAGAAAACCCTCCATGTACTTTAAATGAAATATAACATCCTAAAAGAAACATATAGCGTCATTTTGTTTTGTTGCTGTTGTTACCAGTAGCAGAAACTGAGTGGAATTGCTTTATATATTTGGATGTGTAATGCATTGCTAAACCTATAATAGCAACAATAAATGTGGTACTTGTGGCAGAATTTAAAAAGTTAGAATAACATCTTTGCAAAATTAACTTCCAGCTGTAACTCTAAAGTCAAGGGAAACTCCCAAACATAAAAGGAAAAGAAAGTCATTAAGCAATAGGAATATTGCTGTGAATAATCTGTTGGACTCTTTTGTCCCCCCACACAGTAATAATGACAAGCGAATTTGTGGAAGTAAAAGAACACATAAAATATGTTACCATTAACGGCTAAGAGATAATCATGGGTTAAATGCTTTAGGCAAGTGAAACGCCACATACTACAACAGCAGAAATGACTCACCACGCTTCCTGTTTCTAGAAGATGATTCATCAGCGCCACATTACAAATAAAGAGAGAACATAAACTTAAGGAAGGCAATGAAAAAGAAGAAAATGACAGTTAAAAGCAATGACTACATGTTACATTTTAACAGCATATTTAATTTTACTCCTTTATTGCAGAATCTGAGAGTGCAGAGGAAACCTAACAGTGAGAAAAGACACGGAATCTCTAACATACATCTCATATCTTAACAGAGCAAAAGTGTTTGTGTAAGACTCTAGCAAAACATCTGATTTTGGTCAGGTGTTTCCCGTGCTTGAGGTTAAACTCTATCAAGTGTTCTTTTTCATATGGAAGAAGAGGTATATTCAGAGTCAGCAACAGCTGACTTTGAAATTTTCACGGAAATTTCAAAATGCCCCCATACCTTTCTCACACTCACTATCTAGAGCCAATGAAAATCGTTTTAGTTTGTATTTCTAAGGTGCTCCCAGGTTAAGCATGTGGAGAACTAATATTCTAAAGGGTTTTTCCTTTACTTCTAGATACGTCAAATAATTATCTCTCTCTCACACACACACACACTGATTTATTGGGATTATTAATATTCCTCAGTTATTTTCAACATCACATGAAATAAAGACAAATAAAATTTTTTTTTCAAATTTTACCCTCTCAAGCTAATGAAGTGGTCACATGGATAGCTAAAGCCAAAGGAATGCACCTTTGCTGGGCTCAAGGGAAAAAAAGACACAATTATCTGTGTGCAAACAAGTTGAAGGAAAGAATTTCATTTTCATAGCACATCTGATGTAGGGAGGTGATTGGTTAAAAATGTGACAGATTAACACTTTGATAAATCATCTTGCTTTTCTTGATATGGATTCAACAAGAAAGAATGCAGGATGTCAACCTGTCCTCAACAAAATAAGCCAGGATTTGAAGTTTCTGAGACTGGAATTTCCTTATCCCCATGTACTTTGGAAGGAAAATAAAAGTTTCTCATTAGGTCGGACCCCAGTAAGACAATTTTGGGATTTGAAGGCCCAGACACATTTGGAGCAGTGTGTTTTGACTTTAGGCCAAAATTATTAGTGGATTATGAGATCAATTTACAGTGTAATGACCAATTTTTAAAAATATAAAATAGTAAGGAAAAGAATAGGATGAAACAGAACAAAATGGAAACCATCAGGAATGTTTCACATGTATATAAGGGTAAGTATTATTTTGTGAAACCTTGTTTACAGTGTCATATGTTTGATTGCGTGTGTGTGTGTGGTATAAAGATAGAAATGTATCCCAACTGAATATTGTGCTTAAAAATGTTTGGAAAAGACTAACGCTGACTTCTAAAGTGGATATGCCCCAAAGAGGTAGAAAATAAAAGCTGTGTCCTTCTAATTATATAATCTAGAGAATGCAATTACATCATAAGGAGGTGTGTATACATATAAATATTAAAATATTGCTTGTATTATCAAAAATTGAAAACCCTGGGCCGGCCCGGTGGCGCACTGGATAGTGCGCCGCTTGGGAAGCGCAGCGGCACTCCCG